ATATTTGAAAGACGGTCTGACACGGTCAATACACATGGTATCAATACATATGTATATCAATATTAAGTTTTGTGCAGATATTAAGTGTGAATTATACCATATGCCAAAAAATGAAAGATAAAAAAGCGTGTCATTTTGGCATATGTAAGTGAGAAAAAATCGAGGAAAAAAATTAAGAAAAGGCATTGGATAAAAAAATGGATATCAAAAATAAAAAGGTTCGGCCAACTAAATCTTCTAGAGTACGTTAAGAAACCTGATGATGATTGCGATCTAAAGCGGCCCTCACACGATCAATAATATTGTCAATGTTTTTTATTGTCAATATTTTATCAATATTTGAAAGGTGACATGACACGGTCAATACACATATCAATATTAATATTTTACGTTTTGTGTCGATATTAAGTGTTAATATCGTGCCAACAAATGAACCATAAGAAAAAAGCATGTATTGCCATCATTTTGGCACATGTAAGTGAGAAAATAGTTAAGAAAAGGCGTTGGATAAAAAAATGGATTTCGAAAAGAGAAAAGTTTGGTCACCTAAATCTTCTAGACTACGTTAAGAAACAGGAGCCTGATGATTATAAAAATTACTTCAGAATGAATGGCGAAATATATGATCTATTGCTTCATTTGGTCAGTCCTTATATTACCAAAGAAAACACGAATATGCGGGAAGCTATACCAGCAACTGAAAGATTAGCCGTCACACTTAGATTTTTGGCAACAGGAAGATCCTTTGAGGACTTAAAATTTTCAACAATAATTTCACCAACAACCATTAGTGAAATAGTTATGGAGACTTGTGAAGCCATAATTCGAGTTTTAAAGGATTACATCAAGGTTAGTAAGTTTAAAATACAATAATTTGTAACTTTTTTATTAGGTATGTGCGTAGTAAGTAACATGTTCTGGCAGTACTAGATATTCTTCATGTTCTTGCTGTGTGAGTGGTGACTGCAGTGGTGTTGAAACATAATTTGTAGCATAAAATTTCCCACGGTCAATGGATGATGTCCAACTATCGGCTGATAGTGGTCGTGAACCAGTTGCTTCAGCCGCCACGTTAATTTTTACTGAGTTACGATTTAGATTTCCTAGCGCTGCTTCAAAAAAAATATCATTGATTGCTTTTTCAGCAAATAACCTTTGTTGGGGTGCTAAAGCTTTTAGTTTGTTTGCCCAGACTTTAGCAATCTGACTTTCCTCTACATACTTTTCGTCCTCCGAAAGGTATTTGCATGCTAGTGCCAACAACTGTTTGTTGTCTGGTGTTTTTGCCTGGGTTTTTGTTCTTTTTGATGTATGTAGATCTTCAGATGTAACCTGAAAAACAATAATATATTTTTTTACAGCTTCCAAGAACTCAAGATGAATGGAGAAATGTCGCATTAGAATTTGGTAGAAAATGGAATTTACACTAACAGGACTTAAACATGGATTATTTAGAAACTCTACTAACAGAGCAAAGGAAATCAGAGATCTCTATCGAAATTATTTTAATCAAGAAGGACAAGTAGATTGGCAACATACTGTTATATAGATATTATATTATACTTTATTTTGAGGATTATTTCAACTATTTTTGTCGCAGTATTCGCATTTATAAAGCGTTAGGTATAAGAATAGATATAATCCTTTTAAAATAAAATAAAAACTATTAATAGGTACTTACCTCTATTGTTTCATTTATGGTTGATCTCGTTTTATCTGGCTTTTCTACATCTTTCAAAAATTGAAGTTCCAAAAACAACCAAGACGAAGGTTCATATATGTCTGCACTTGCACTCCCTGTGCGTTGAGAGTCTTTTATTTTTTTTAGTTCTTTTCGGAAATTTGTTCTTAACGAATTGATTTTTTTTTTCACATCTTCTATTCCCGCATTTTTTTTAATTTTTTTATAAATGTTTAATAATTTTTTATAACCTTCTTTTTTCTTGTCGCGGTTGGAGTAGTCGTTTGACGAAATATCCCATAGTTCTGGCATTTCACGATAACTATCTATAAAAATTTGTAATATTTCTCGTTCACTTTTTGTTTCAATCTCAGATTCATCTTCCGAAAACAACGACGGCGATGTTCTGTCTTCCGCCATGGTTACAAATAAGCCATAGATTAAATAAACTAGTCAAATCTTGTCAATCATGCGACCTAACGGTCAATATATTGTCAATAATACTAGCTCCGCCTTTAATATTGACGAGTATTTTCAGGGACCCGAAAATCCATCAATATATTGAAAGTACATCAATATCTACGCTCAAACACTCAATAATATTGTCAATAATCCAAAATATTGACAATATTATTGATCGTGTGAGGGCCGCTTAAAACTGGTGTAAACAACGACGGCGATGTTCCGTCTTCCGCCATGGTTACAAATAAACTAGTCAAATTTTGTCAATCATGCGACCTAACGATCATTATATTGTCAATACGACTAGCTCCGCCTTTAATATTGTCGAGTATTTTCAGGGTCCCGAAAATCCATCAATATATTGAAAGTACATCAATATATTCGCTCAAACGCTCAATAATATTGTCAATAATCCAAAATACTGACAATATTATTGATCGTGTGAGGGTCGCTTTAAACAAACTTTGTAAGTTCTTTATTCTAGGAGCTACAGATGCCCGACGCACTATTGCCGGCCCCTGTAGATTCTGTGTATTTTCTGTGGTAGCTCATTATCAAAAATAAATGTAAATAATAAATGTATACATGCTTAATATATATTCGTCAAATAAAATATGTTGGGGTGCTTTTTGAAGTAATTTTATGCAAATCCATTAGGAAAATACACGATAAATCGCTATCTGGCAGAGTTACGAAGATGTAACCATTTAGGATAAGACTTTTAAAACCAAAAAAATACAAAGACATAAAAAATACATTAAAATTTTAAAATATAACAATTTTTTGATTCTTTTTTTAAATCTTGATTGTTTTGCATCTTGCTGAAACACAAACGCTTTTTGTTGGTTAGACAAATTTGTTTTTGCGAGTAATAAGCCACAAAGAACTTTGTGTGCGATGATGTCAAAAACTAGTGGCACTTTCAAAAAAGGTTGGTTTTAAGTTTTAATTATCTGTTTCAGTGGCGAAGTATTCAGCAATATCCCTCAGTGAAATTAATACCTAGTCCTATTATAATACAATAACTGTATTTACTGCACTCTAACCAAATTAATTTTTAATTATAAGCAATTAATTAGTCTTTTATATGTTCAATAATATTTTCCTTGCAAATAATTAACTTCGCTTAATGGCTCTTGAACTTATTTAACTTGACAGTGTCAATAATTGACCCTCATTTGGTTTACAATCATGTCAAATATTTAGAAAAATTTCAAACTTTTTGTAAAGATTGCGATCAAAGTGTAACGATATCAATTTATAATGTAATTAGGTTTGATGCATTTACTCTCAGATGTCGATTATTCACGGCAGTGTCATGATTCATGATACTGTAATAATAAAATTATACTGGCTCATATCTGAATTGAGTGACTCAAAACAATGAATATAAAAAATAGCATTTATTTATTTATTTAATCTGTATATCATGTCATATAGACAATGAGAATATTGTATTCTGACAAAAGTCTCAAATTTACCCCCACAAAAATCTAGCTTCTGGACTACAGGACTTTAATTGAAGGAGATTTTAATTGAGGAAAATAAATTTAAATTATTACAAACGGATATGCATCTCTAGACCATGTATCGTAACTTCTTCGAACGCTTACTACCCTGTGATCAAAAGAAAACGGCGTCCAGATGGCTTGGAAATGAACATCGATGACATTCCCCATATAATTTTGCATATAAAATGACAGCGATCTTCATTTCATAGCCATCGCTGACGCCGTTTTTTTTTTCGATCTCTATAATCATGACTTGAGTATAAAAAAAACGAAACTTGCAGTGTACCGAGTAATTATAATCCCCACCATGTTATATGGGAGCGATACCTGGGTGCCGTACCGCCGATACATGAACGCATTAAACAAGTTGCAACAGAGACACCTTAGACGACTCTTAAGAATCCGGTGGTCGGTGGTTCCATCATGTCTCAAACCTATCGGTCCTTGAAAAAGCTAACTGCGAGAGTATTGAAGTCATTGTTACAAAAGCCCGCTTAAAATGGGCTGGTCACGTATGCAGAATGCAAGAAAACCGCATACCAAAATCTCTGCTTTACGGTGAGCTTGTAGACGGTAAGAGGAGGCCGGGTGGACAACTGAAAAGGTACAAGGACCACGAAACTTAAAGCGAATTAACATGCAGAATGAGTGGGAAGAAGCAACTCACAATAGAATTCAATAGAGAAGAATTGTAAACTCAGTTAACAGCGACAACCAAAACGTACAGAGGCAACAAAGCAATGAGATTTTTCAATGTCCGGATGTGTGCGCTAGGCAGATAACATCACGTATCTGGCTTTTCAGTCACAGAAAAGCTCATGAAAGAAAACGCCTTGCGTGACCATCTTCTGATGTGTGTCGAATACTCGTCAGCGAGTAATGACTGTATGTATGTATAATGACGTCTCCTGACAAAAGTTTGGTACTCAGTTTCAAAAGTTCAAATCTTAAAAAGGTTCTAACCCGCAACTGTAATAATAACTTACGAAAGCATAATAATATATATATATATATATATATATATATATATATATATATATATATATATATATATATATATATATATATATATATATATAAAACTACGATTGACAAAATGACGAGCTCCATGAATAACATTTTGTAATTATTTCAAGGTCACGTACCAGTTTCTTCTTTTCAATATACATAATAAAAACAAGAAGTGTCCGAATATGTTTTCTTTTGCAGTCTATATAAGGCAGTATGGGTCGTAAAAGGGAATTATTTATAGTTAAAGACCCTGAACGTTACAAAACACAACTGTTTCAATACACCGATCCAAGAAGGAACGGGGCTAATGAAAATAAATAAAAAACGAAACCCACCTCCTGTTTTGTCGACGATATTTGTCTTTTTTCTCTTCCGTGGCATATTTTCGGTTTAACAAGGGTAAACCGGCTGAAATCTGATGCAGGATGTGGAACTGAAACAAGAAGAAAATCATTAGAATAACAATATAATTTTTTTTTAAAATAATAAAATACTAGAAATTGATCATTATAAAAAAATACATTGTACGAATATTTCCGAACCTCTTTATGAAGTAATGAAAATAGGTGGGTTTGACATTTACCATCACGCGACATCATTGATAGTCGCTAGGTGTATCAAAAATGGGTGTAGTTAATTATAATACTTAACATATTAATGCTCTTTTACAAAGCATTATCAAAAATGGGTTTCGTAAGTAAATTATATAAAATATATTATATGTATTTTTTTTTGCATAATTAGATACTTTTTCCTGGGTATCGATCAACGAATAAAATATTTTATTTATATATTGATTGATGTTTCAGTTTCAACCATCTTCAGAAACTTCAGTTTCTGAACTATCTTCAGAAACTTATCTTTTTTCTAAACACTAAAACTATTCATAAACATTCTACTTTTCCTACGGTTATGTTTCTGCAATTTTAATATAGTTCATATCAAATAAACTTTTAGTCACGTGATGAAGCTTGACCGGCACAGTGTTGTAAACCCACTTTTACATATTTTCTTTTAATCAAAATATTTTAGGAAACAAAAATAAAATAATTATTAATATATAAACAGTTACTATTTACATCAATAAAACTCACCTCCTTGACAGCACTTAAGGGACATAAAGTGTCATTACTACCGCTTTCCCGTCCAAAATATTCTAATAAAGTTTTAAAATTTTTAAAAAATATTCAGAAATTATTATTTCAAGGAGCTTACTACGAGTAGAAAAAAATATTGTGCTGGTTTGGCGTTGGTTTCTATGTAATTCGACAAATAAATAAAGCTGTCTCTTTAGTGGTCACTTTTGAGTCAATATGTTTTAATTGTCTTTCGTGTCGATTGCTGATTAAATTGGAGCCAGAAATGGCTCAAAACGAAATAAGTAAATTACCAACAGATATTCAGGCTGAGGCGACAAACGCTATATTCAAACTACTTCCATTTAAATCCCGAATAACTTATGAAAAGGAATACAAAAATTTTCAAGAATGAAAACAATTAAAAAACATGCGAGAAGAAATAAAGTTTTTAACCTATCCTCGCTCTTAAAGTATCATTTAATCTACCCTTGCGGTTAAAGTACTATTTTATCTACTATTTTTGATAGATAAGGCAATTTTAACAGTTGCTATGGAAAAAAATAATTTTTTACTCAAAAGAAAAAAAAACTGGCAGAAAGTACCAACAGAAATAAGGAAGAGTAGGGGACATGTAAATGACGTCTAGGGCTTGACCTTGCTAAAATTAACACCTATTTTCATTCCCCAACTGTCTTTGACGTCGTTTTTTTTTCAGTCGCATGGTATAACGTATCCAAAAAAATACACAAATATTCTTGTTCTGCAAAATCAATATATGTACATTACTAAAGTGAATTTTTGGTTATTTAAGTTATCTAATAACCTATGAATACTAATTAGTGATATTAACACAAAAACTGAAAAATATACATAATATATTAACAAAAATAGAAAATTAAAATATAAGGACACGCAAGGTCAACAACCACAATCACGCATTTGTGTTTCCAACCGAGGCTACAACAAGAAATGGTCAATTTTACAATTTACATGCTAAAAAGTGCTAAATTCGTTTAAAGCTTGCCGTCTGGTAAAACGAAATAAATTGCTTTGTTAACTCAAATTTCCGTAAAAAAAACCACTAAAAACAAAAAACCGTAGGCGAGAATTAAGTGTAAAAAAGTTATAATCATTCGTCTAGAAAGAAAAATCTGAATCTTCGTTTATTTTGTAAAACTGAAATTCACAAAGAGATATAGTGAAATACTTATTTAACATACATACTGTGTTTATGTTAACCATGAAGTTGGTTTATATCTATAACCTATAAGACTAGTACTTTTATTATCACTATAAAATATGGAGAAGCTCACATAATTCAGAGAACTTGGAGCAAAGGAACGTAGATATCAAATATATTATTTCTTTTGAACTATGGTGTAAGATAAAAATGCTTAGAATCACCTTGTATGTAACCATTAGATTATCATTATTTTGCATGAACTGAGTTCTTCAGTATTTGGGTTACATAGCTAGAAGATCAGAACAAAAACAAAAAGGAGACTCATAGTGATGGAGAAAGAGTAGTAGTATAGAAGAAGAGAGGAAGTAGAAGAATTGAAGTAGAAAAGACCTAGACGATAAATTAGATAATGACCTGAAAACTGAAAAAATACCACTTGGCAAGGGCGTGACACAAGGAGATACCATCTCTCCCAAGTTCCTTACTCTAGCACTGGAACATGTCTTTAAGAAACTGGAATGGGAAAATAGAAGGTCTAAACATCAATGGTGTATACCTAAGCCATCTTAGATTCGCAGACGATATAGTCTTGCTGTGCACCGACATTCAAGAACTGAATACCATGCTAAAGGAGCTAAATGATCAATCCCTGAAAATAGACTAAAATAAGACCAAAATAATGAGAGCAACAATATCCATAACATTACCGTAGATAACGTTGTTATTGAAAACGTCGATCATTATATTTAGGTCATAAAATAAATGCACGATCCATTTGGCATAGATGGCATTCGGAAATATGAGTGATAGCTTCAAAGATAAAAAGGTGCTCTTCAACCTAAATAAAAAGGCATACGACAACTCAGATGAGACTACGCGCAGTCATATCTCATCAGACTACACCGCAGTCATACTATGGAGATCAAGGGAAGTGTGGGCCAACAAAAAAAGAGTAGGGTCGATGACATCAAAACAGTGGCAGGAAGACAACGGATGAGTTTGGCTAGAAATCGCGTAGAATGAAAAACCTAGAAGAGGTCTATATCCAACACTGGATGGAACCCGGCTGAGGAAGAATAAGAACCACAATAGATCAATCACTTTAGATCAAAGGCAAATTATACCCAAAATTATAAACCAAATACCTCTTTCTTTGGCTCTAAGTTTCGTATGAATTTTAGAATTATGAACAAAAGACTGTACCAAGTTGTTATATTCTAAAATAATTGAATTATAAACGGCCAACCCCACAGCGGCTGCAGATTATCAGAAATTGGAGGAGAAAATAAGAAATCAGACAGGATGTGAACGTTGTCTTTGTTCGTACTATCTTTTCTATTTCGTATTTACTTTACTATTTTATTTACTTTAATACTCATTTATATAGCTAATTGGCTGTAATTGTTATGTTTTATTAATTTTTAACATAAATTGCTATAAAGTTTAAGTTGCACTTGATCACGCTCGGTTGGGTTGTTCGCCTGCGAATGTATTAAGTGAGTATCTCTATTAATTTGTTAAGAATGTTTCCTAATCTGTATTATCTGGTAACCACGCAAGCATAACTATACCCAGAGTAGTAAAGTAGTGAAAGCAAAGTGTTTTGGTGTATTGTGGCGAATTAGTGTTTTATTTGGCTGTTTAAAAAACGAGATTTGGTATGTTAGTATATGACATAAATTAGGATTGGCGTATTCGATTGTTTTTGGTCACTTCCTGTTTCACCAGAAATGACTACAACTTATGACATGATTTTTAAATGTCACTCTTGGTATTTTCTTACTTTATTCGATAGAAAATGACACATGAATGAATGACATAATATCATAGTCAACTTTTGACATTTTCGCTTTAAAAAAATCGGATTTTAAATTTCAATCTAGAGTGCCATGGTTATGTGAAAAACACTAGTTTTACATTTACAAATAATTTGGTACCACAATTTAACTTAGTAAAATATTTTACCAGTTACAGTTGAATTAATTTCTCAGTTACTTTGTTGAATATTTTAGTCTCTACGATGCACAGTGCTTCGAACATATGGCTCTAGAGGACAAAAATGCAAAACTTCTCTTTTATTGTAGGCAATTTATTCTAGCGGGAATACACTGCATAGGGTATGCAGATGACATAGTCATCATTGCATGGGGGAAACATGAAGGCACCCTGTGTGATATTATCCCAAGAGGACTCCGCATCGCTGAGAGATGGTGCAGGACTGTCGGGCTGAGTATTAACTCAGATAAAACTGCAGTAGCGCCATTCACCAGAAAGCGAAGTTTGAAAAACGTGAAAAGAGTCCATCTAGATGGAAAGGAAACACTGCCATCACAGGAAGTGAAATATCTGGGAATAACCCTGGATAGTAAACTTCTCTGGAACAGGCATATTAAGAACATTACCAGCAAAGCCACAAAGGCTCTCATGATATGCAGAAGATTGGCGGGAAATAGGTGGGGCTGCGCCCCTAACATTTTGCGCTGGATGTATACCATGATAGTAAGACCCATGATTACTTATGAAGCAGTTGCTTGGTATACAAAACTAGAGCAACGTACAGCAAGGCAAAACCTGTGCAAAGTACAGAGACTGGTATGTATCTGCATCACAGGTGCCATGAGAACATGTCCAACAGCAGCAATGGAGGTCATTCTAGACCTAACACCACTGCACATTGTCGTCGGTAGTTATGCCAATGCGACAATGATTAGAATGGTCATTGATGGAAACAGTACTGGGAGAATTTTCAGGTCAGGAACACCCTCAAAAAGAAAATTCCACTTCTCCAACTCCCAGTGGATGACATATCAAGAATTTACAACTTTGAGAAACACCTCACTGTAGTATTGAGTAATAAAAAGAATTGGAAGAAAGAAACGCTTACTCAGCATATAAAAGACAATACCATCACGTGGTATACTGATGCTTCCAAAACCAAAGCAGGGACAAGGATAGGAGTATTTGGGCAGAAAACTAAATACTCCGAACCAATGGGCACCTACCCCAGTATTCTTCAGGCAGAAATTTGCGCTATCGAAAGATGCGTAATTGTATGCGTCGTAATTTATCTTAGATAGGAACTATCGAAAACAGGAAATTGCCATCCTATCCGATAGTCAAGCAGCACTTAACGCGATCAACTCAGTAACCATCAATTCGAAGTTGGTCAAA